ATCAATCATCACCAGATCTTCAATAAAGGTAAGTGTCATTTAACTGTGCATGTCTTTTTCAGTTTGTGTGTATTAAAATTAATATTTCATGTGGTAAAAATTTTTTTTTTCATGCTTTGGGGGTGTCTTGCACGGATTAATTTGATTTCCATTATTTCTTATGGGGAAAATTCATTTGCATAACGATAATTTCGCATAACAATGAGCTCTCAGGAACGGATTAATATCGTTATGCAGGGGTCCACTGTACCTTGAAATTGAGCTCAAATTAGCAGAAATTTTCGATTTTTACCAAAGTTCAAAAGTAACCAAATCATGCCAAGCGTCCAATACACGTCAACTGGTGAGTCTAATATTCTTTCACAAGTGCGCTGATATTATTTATACCATTTCTACACTAATGCAGCAGTCTGCATAACAGTAAATTTTCTATTTTTTGTTAGAATAAAAATTGAAAGTGGAAAGCCAAAGAAATATAAGAGGGGCCTGGGGATGTGACTGACAAACAGAGGAAATGTTATTTTAGTGCCAGGAATGTCTTTCTTGTTTATTCTGGACCCTATTTGGAAATTGGCATCTTTTGAAATTTGTGTGAAATTGGCAAAATTGCTAAATTCTGACCACTGTATTGGATAGTTGAAATCAGTAAATGGGTGGTTTCTTGTACTCATTCAATAGAAAAAATGGAGTTCTAGAGAAATAGTTATGATTTTTGTTGACTAGTACACTGGAATTGGCCGAAAATAGGGCTCAAAGTGGGCAAAATCGTAAACATCGTCGAGATCGCTAACTTCGCGAGAGCATAATTCCGCAAGTTTTCCATCAAATTTCATACTTTTGGTGTCATTATGATCGGGAAAAGATTCTCTATCTTTTCATAAGAAATAATTTTTTTTTTTTAAATTTGGCCGACCCTGAGAACAAGTCTCGGAGAGGGCCTGTCGACCCTCAAAGGGTTAAAGTGCAGGCATTGTAAATCTCATTTCCAGTACTCAAGCCCAGCTATAACCAGGTTTCCCTGAATCCCTTCACTAAATATTACCTTGCTCATACTCCAACGGCTCGTCAGGTCCCAAAAACCATTCATCTCCATTCACTCCTATCTAACACACTCACGCACGCTTGCTGGAAGTCCAAGCCCTCGCCCACAAACCACCTTTACCCCCTCCCTCCAACCTTTCCAAGGATGACCCCTACCCTGCCTTCCTGGAGGTTAAAGCCACAAATGAGCACAGGGATATCTGTCAGTAATGTATGTAAATGCAGTAAGAGCCTGGCCCATGACCGGGCTCCGGGAGTAGAAAGATTCTCAAAACTCGTCAAAGGTAAAGGTAAGGTATGGGCACCCCTTGTATATTATTGTTAACTAGTATGTCTGCATATGCAGTATTCAAGTATGACTCGTATAACCTTTGGCACCAGGCACCCAAGTGCTGGCTCAGTTCAAATCTTGAGTTTTGAGAGTATGGAGGCATCACTGGCTCTGCTACTCACTGTATCTGTGTACTCCTGTACAATAAACAGTAGAACTTGAGTAGTCTTTCCACTCTCTGTCATACTGAATGAACCTATCTACAAATCTATGTACTATTATCTTATCTAGTTTTAATTAGTTATTTTGTACATGTACGTATTAGAATTAGTTTGCCCAAAGTGCCTCGGCATGATAGTGGCTATCTTTGTACTTAGCAAATCAAATTGTAATTACAGATTGTAACCTTTACAGAAAAATATACTGGTGGCCTGGTGGTTAACGCTCTGGCTTCACACGGTGAGGGCCTGGGTTCGATTCCCAGCCAGAGTAGAAACATTGGACGTGTTTCTTTCCACCTGTTGTCTATGTTCCCCATCAGTAAAATGGGTACCTGGGTGTTAGTCGACTGGTGTGGGTCGCATCCTGGGACACTGACCTAAGGAGGCCTGGTCACAGACCGGGCCGCGGGGGCGTTGACCCCCGGAACTCTCTCCAGATAAACTCCAGATAAACTTAGTGGAGGAGAGGAAGGGTAGGGGCCATCCTAGAAAAGGATGGAGGTAGGGGGTGAAAGAGGGTTTATGTGCATGGGGCTTGGACATACAGCAGGCATGTGTGAGCATGTTAAATAGGAGTGAATGGAGACTTGAAACTTGATGAGCTGTTGGAGTGTGAGCAGTGTAATATTTTGTGAAGGGATTCAGGGAAACCGGTTAGCCTGCACTTTAAAGGAAGGGTTTGGGAAATTGGCTATTTGGAGTGACATCTGAGCTGTCGTATCTGGGCACCTCTGCAAAGACAGTGATTATGTGTGAATGATAGTGAATGTTGAATGATGGTGAAAGCATTTCTTTTTTGGGTCACCCTTCCTCGGTGGTAGACGGCCAATGTGTTGAAAAAAAAATATACATGACAGTAGATAAAAGGTGTAGCATGGTACTTGACACTCAGAAAAATTAATTGAGATAAATTAAACCAAAGGTTAGTGGATGAGTTTGGGAATGTGTGTAAAGGTAGAAAGTTGAAAGTGAACATAGAAAAGAGTAAGGTGATGAGGGTATCAAATGATTTAGATAAAGAAAAATTGGATATCAAATTGGGGAGGAGGAGTATGGAAGAAGTGAATGTTTTCAAATACTTGGGAGTTGACGTGTCGGCGGATGGATTTATGAAGGATGAGGTTAATCATAGAATTGATGAGGGAAAAAAAGGTGAGTGGTGCGTTGAGGTATATGTGGAGTCAAAAAACGTTATCTATGGAGGCAAAGAAGGGAATGTATGAAAGTATAGTAGTACCAACACTCTTATATGGGTGTGAAGCTTGGGTGGTAAATGCAGCAGCGAGGAGACGGTTGGAGGCAGTGGAGATGTCCTGTTTAAGGGCAATGTGTGTGTAAATATTATGCAGAAAATTCGGAGTGTGGAAATTAGGAGAAGGTGTGGAGTTAATAAAAGTATTAGTCAGAGGGCAGAAGAGGGGTTGTTGAGGTGGTTTGGTCATTTAGAGAGAATGGATCAAAGTAGAATGACATGGAGAGCATATAAATCTATAGGGGAAGGAAGGCGGGGTAGGGGTCGTCCTCGAAAGGGTTGGAGAGAGGGGGTTAAGGAGGTTTTGTGGGTAAGGGGCTTGGACTTCCAGCAAGCGTGCGTGAGCGTGTTAGATAGGAGTGAATGGAGACGAATGGTACTTGGGACCTGACGATCTGTTGGAGTGTGAGCAGGGTAATATTTAGTGAAGGGATTCAGGGAAACCGGTTATTTTCATATAGTCGGACTTGAGTCCTGGAAATGGGAAGTACAATGCCTGCACTTTAAAGGAGGGGTTTGGGATATTGGCAGTTTGGAGGGATATGTTGTGTATCTTTATATGTGTATGCTTCTAGACTGTTGTATTCTGAGCACCTCTGCAAAAACAGTGATAATGTGCGAGTGTGGTGAAAGTGTTGAATGATGATGAAAGTATTTTCTTTTTGGGGATTTTCTTTCTTTTTTGGGTCACCCTGCCTCGGTGGGAGACGGCCGACTTGTTGGAAAAAAAAAAAAAAAAAAATTAATTTGGGTGGCATTCAGTACAATACAGTATATTGAAGTATTAGTGCTTATAAGGAGAAATCATTGGAAAGAGTAAACGGTATTTACAAATGATTTGACTGAAGTGTTTAGGGACACAGTACCTGCTTTAACAGGTTATGGTATGCTGCATCCAGGGAGAACTTTCTAAGCAAATAAGATAGACCCCATTCCTGCTGGAAGGTATATCATACTCAAGATGCCAGTTATCTAAGAAAACTCCAATACCTGCTGGAAGTTTTTAAATAATGGGTGAAGGATATCTATTCACTATGGTGTATCATCATTGAATACAATAGTAGTAATAAAAAACTTTGATTATACATACTGTGCCATATAATACAGGAGGTTCCAGCTTATAAACAAGTTTCATTCCTGCTTCTCAACTAAAAAATTAACCTTGTGTAGAAAACAACAGCAGAAAGGATAGTTATGTTTCACACATGTTTATTCTACAATTTAACAGTTGTAAAATATTAATTACATCCTGTGTCCCTTATTTGTAAGAGTGTATGTTTGTAACTTGTGGTCGTAAGTTGGGAACTTTTTTTTTTAACTCACCAGCTGTCTCCCACCCGAGGTAGGGTGATCTCCCCCATCACTATCACTCGTACCATCACTCACTTCATCACCATCTTGCAAGAGGCATGCTGACATCGCAGCTCAAATGCTCCTCCAGACTGCAATATTCCCACCACTCCTTCAGAGTTACAGCACTGTACTTCCCACCTCTTGGACTCAAATCCAGCTAACCTGTTTCCCTAAATCCTTTCGTAAAGGTTTTCTTGCTCACGCTCCACTAGTACGTCAAGTCATAAAGACCACTTGCCTACATTCACTCCTATCTAACATGCTCACACAAGCCTGTTGGATGTTCAATCCCCTCGTGTACAAGCCTCCTTTACTCCCTCCCTCCAACCTTTCATAAGATGAACTTGTATTTTTTTTTTAATTGGATACCTCATGTTCTAATTGCCATTTTCTCCCACCTGTATTTTTTATTTTAATACACCTTTATTGTTTTTTCTATTCTGTTCTATTTTCTTTTTCTTTCAATTTTCCTTACTTTTTTTTTTATTTAATTCTTTTGGTGATTAAATGTACATAAAATATTCAATATTTTACCACCATGTGATTGAAGGTAATTCCCTGAAGAAGTGAGGCACAAAGCTGTAAGGATATTCTTTATTATTCTTTAGTAATTCAGAGAATTTGGATCTTAATTTATATTGTTTAGCTCTTTTGTTTTGTTTTATGTTCTGATAACATGTATCTGTATAAGCCCACAATGAAGAAGAATGGCAAGTTTGAATGATAGATTACTCAGGAAGCTTATCTTGCAAAGTGGACAAGCCTAAATACAGCAAGCTATGATATATCACCTGGTTAGGGTAGGGTTAGGTACTTGAACAAAGCTGTTTTTAAATTAATCCTTTATTTGTTCATCCTCAAGCAAAATATGGCTATGAGTATGTCTATCGAAGCCTGCACGAGAGATTTGGGATGCGTGTACACGTCAGCCGGTGGAAATATCGGATGTATGACACTGTACCTGAAATTCAAGATGCTCTTACTCCCGATGCTACTGAAACATGGATTCATGCCTGTGATTGGAGGGTTAGTAAATTCTTTAAAATTATATAAATTAAATAATTTTTTTTCCAGAATCTATATAATTGTTAGAAAATGATTTTACATTTATATCGTACATTTTGAAAATCTCTTGTGTAGAATCTTTATTTTATTCACTTTTTTCACCTATCCATCTTCAGTCTTTATTTGATATATTTCTGTTATATCCTGTACTGGTCCTCTCCATCCTTGCTGGTTTTATGGTCAAAAATTTCTTACTTGCAGTCCTCAGACCTTTAGGTACAATATAATTTTCTAACATTAGATACTTTTGTGCTATAGCCATTTTTTCAGCCCATCATTTCACATGGTTTAATTATATTAGTATAATGTGGAGCAGGTAGGATTAGTTTTTTATTTTTAAGCATCAGTTTTTGCCCTGATAAAAATGAATGAATTCAGATTATTTGCTTTAATATGATTATATGTATGTTTGCCTGATCATAACCTAGAATATAATGTTGTAAAGAACTGGAAATTAATAACTTATTTTTATGTATCTAGATGAATGAAGTAGAAGAAGGTGAAGATCAAAGTGATCGCCAACTTCCCTGTCGGTGTGTACCATTTGGGGTGGACACTGCTCCAAGCATACGTGTTATCCGACCCTCAGCCATGTTCTACACTATGTATCAGTCTGCTAAGGTAAAGATATTGTTTTGTATCACCTGTACTCACCTGTGTGTAGGTGTAGGGGTCAAGTCCTAGTTCCTGGCTCTCCCCCTCAACTTGCTGCTTGCCAAATTGCCCTCAAACCTCATAGCATAGGCCTTATCATACCTGCTCTTAAAACTAAGTATGGAGTCTGCCTCCACCACTTTAAGATCATTCCACTGCCTTACCACTCTGAAACTAAAGAGATACTTTCTGATATCTTATGCCCCACCTGAGCATGTAGATAGGTTCATCCAGTATGACGGAGGGGGAAAAGACAACTCTAGCTCTGTTGTTTATTATACAGGAGTATACGTAGATGCAGCAAGTAGCAGAGCCACAGTGATGTGTCCACACTTTCAGGCTCCAAGGTTTAAACTGAGCTGAACTGAGCAAAACTGAATAAAGCACTCAGGCACCTGATGCCAATGGCTTTATGAGTCTTACTTGAAAATTACATACACAGACTTAACAGTTAACAGTAACAAAGAAGGGGTGCCTAATTCTATGTTACCAACAATTATATTTACACACATTACTGACAGCTCAGCTGCACTACAGCTAGGCTACCTCACATAGCAGTAACAGTGCTGAGTGTCAGTGCACAAGGAATGTGGACTGCAAACTCAAATTTATCAGAAAATGAGTTATGCAATATATCATGAGACACTGAGTTGAGAAATTCTAAAGTATGTACAGTATTTAACACACAAATACAGTAAATCATATACATATATATGAATCATTCACAAATGTCAGTGATAATGTCGAGTTATTCCGTGAATTCTAGATGAAACAAAAATGTTGAAAAGGAAAGGTAACAGGAGAAGGTAACCTGTTGTGTACACAGGCTGTGTTCTGTCAGAATCCAGAGTACCAAGATTATAAGTCTGCAAGAGCAGGGCACTAAACAATATTACATTAGATATGTCTAGACATGGGCCACAGAGGTTGAACAAATATGTACAGCCTCTCCTCACTTAGTGACGTACTCTTTACCCATATTCATACCTAAATAGTGTATATTAGAGCTGATTTCCTCTATTCTGTTTATTTCATTATACAGTACACTACTGTATAAACATTTAAAACTATACTAAAAATGTTATAAATGGTGCAAATATGATATTAAAACAATATCTAAAGATGGTTGACACAAACCCACTACCAGTTCAGTATGCTCCTCACTTAACCCTTTGAGGGTCGACAGGCCCTCTCCGAAACTCGTTCTCAAGGTCGGCCAAATTTAAAAAAAAAAAAATTATTTTCTCTTATGAAAAGATAGAGAATCTTTTCCCGATCATAAAGACACCAAAAGTTTGAAATTTGATAGAAAACTTACGGAATTATGCTCTCGCAAAGTTAGCGGTCTCGGCGATGTTTACGCATCAGCGATTTTGCCCACTTTGAGCCCCATTTTCGGCCAATTTCACTGTACTAGTCGACAAAAAACATGAATATTTCGCTAGAACCCATTTTTTCTATCGAATGAGTACAAGAAACCACCCATTTATGAAATTCAACTATCCAGTACAGTGGTCAGAATTTAGCAATTTTGCCAATTTCACACAAATTTCAAAAGATGCAATTTCCAAATAGGGTCCAGAATAAACAAGAAAGATATTCCTGGCACTAAAATGACATTTCCTCTAGTCATTAGTCACGTCTCAAGGCCCCTCTTATATTCTTTTGCTTTCCACTTTGAATTTTTATTTTCACAAAAAAATATAAGATTTACTGTTATGCAGACTACTGCATTAGTGTAAAAAATGGTATAAATATTATTGGTGCACTTGTGAAAGAATATTAGACTCACCAGTTGACGTGTATTGCATGCTTGGCACGATTTGTTTACTTTTGAAGTTTGGTAAAAATCGAACATTTCTGCTACTTTGAGCTCAATTTCAAGGCACCTTTCATTGTAAAACCAGTCAAAATCATCTCAATTTCTGTAATATGTCTTCCATTCTATAAAATGAGACCAAGAAAACTAGAATACAACAATAAATACCATACGAAAATACATTGCAAAGTCGCCGATTTATTAAAAAAAAATGGTCAAAGTTTTTTTTTTCTCATTATGCACTGTGTGCTGCAGGATTTTTTTTAGACTTTGCACACTGACCACATAGACCCATTCTTTCATGTGAAGGCCTACCAGCTTTCTCCCACTAGATTTGAGGCCGCTAGAATTTATGAGTACTAGTACGTCAAAAACCCCTACGCGTAAGACGTACTAGTACGACCAAAACCCTCAAAGGGTTAACAACCAATTTGTTTATCGACCAACTCTTAGGAACGGAACTCCATCATTAAGTGAGGAGAGACTGTACTTATTTGTAATTACATTCAGTAAGATTTTTTCAACACTAAAAATTAACAGTATACATAGATATTATACATATATTCTATGTACATTAACACCTAACTCTGCCATTATACAAGTGGCATAAGCAGAATGAGCATCAGATTGAACATTAGGACTCAAGATGCTGCATCTAATTCTGTGGTAATAGACGTAACATTTTTTGTCTCTTACTCATTATTCTTCTAGACCTGAGAGCATACTTACTGATGAAAGTCAGGTTGTCAGAGGAAGATGTTGCAGAGTTAAGCAGGTCAGAGCAAGAGGGTGTAGAGGCAGAAGAGTGATCAAGCACTACATCACCTGTCTGTGCATCAGAAAGCTGTCCGACATTATTACTGACCCATTTCATCTGATCAGAATGAGATTCTTTAACCCTTAAATGGTCCAAACGTATATATACGTTTTTTCAACATCTGAAAGTATGTAAAAAAATGTAGATTTTTTTTTTGTTTTACACGTGAAAACGTGTAAAAAAAACTTTTATCTACATTTTTTTTTGTTATATTTGAAAATATGTAAAAAAAAGTAGATCTACTTTTGTAGCAATACGAATTTGAACGTTGATCTGTTTGGATCATTTAAGGGTTAAACTGACCAGTAGCTATATTACAAACTTTGTACTTGTTGCCATGAATATGCTTAGCAGCATAATATTTTTTTACTTTTAAAACACCGGCTGTCTCCTACCAAGGCAGGTTGACCGTAAAAAGAAGAAACAAAGTTTTTTTTTTTTTTTTTTTTTACATTTAGTAATTTATACAGGAGAGGGTTACTAGCCATTTTAGTTGCCTTTTGGTATATGTATGGCTTAACAATACAGAGGACCCTCGACCAATGATGGCATCGTATAACGTTAAATCCGACTAACGATACATTTTAACGCAAAAATTTTGCCTCGACTAGCGCTAAAAAACTCGACCAACGCATTCGTTCCGTTCGAGACGTGTCCACTTGCGGCCTGAGCGCGCCTCACTTGTCCCGTGCGTGCCAGTGTTTACAAGCAGCCAGCCACCACGGGCGCAACCAAACTTACAATCGGAACATTTCATATTATCACAGCGTTTTAAGCCAACCCTGTGGTAAAAAGGGTGAGAAATACTATAGTACCACAGTCAGCTGCTGCTGCACCATGGTCAGCTGTTGCTGCACCACGGTCAGCTGTTGCTGCACCACGGTCAGCTGTTGCTGGACCAGTCAGCTGTTGCTGCACCACGGTCAGCTGTTGCTGCACCACGGTCAGCTGTTGCTGCACCATGGTCAGCTGTTGCTGGACCAGTCAGCTGTTGCTGCACCATGGTCAGCTGTTGCTGGTTCAGTCAGCTGTTGCTGCACCACGGTCAGCTGTTGCTGCACCACGGTCAGCTGTTGCTGGACCAGTCAACTGTTGCTGCACCATGGTCAGCTGTTGCTGCACCATGGTCAGCTGTTGCTGCACCATGGTCAGCTGTTGCTGGACCAGTCAGCTGTTGCTGCACCACGGTTTCTATAATATATATACACATATAAAGTCACTAGATACTTTCATATAACTACTGTTATCTTCATTCAGCAAGCTTGTCTTGTGTGCGAGTGTGTGGCTTATAATTGTTTTGAGTCAGGAGTCGGCAGCTGTCAAAATGACATATTATCTCATTAATCACCCCCCTACCACCTGTCAAAACAATGGGGTCGGATGCTGCTTCCCCTCCTTTCTATCTGTCTGTCTATCTCTGTCTCACAGGTACACAGAAATACAAGTATACATAGTGTAAATTACCTAGGATAACCCAAAAAATCCAGACAAAGTGCTATACTCTGCTTGAAGATGTGAGTAAAAGTGATGACACAGTCTTGTGGCTCTCTCTGAGACAGAGAGCTAGACAGATAGACAGGGAGCTTGACAGACAGACAAATACAGACAGAAATGTTTGTGTACCAGCAAAAACAAAGGGAGGGCAATGGTCATCTAATCTTTTCTTATCAGCTGTACCCTCCCCCACCCTGGTTTATGCTCATCAAAGTCAGCTCTTATCAGATGTTATCTCCCCTTACCTTGTCACTGTCATGGGGTGGACTTTTTTTTTTCTTGCTTCAAGGGAACAATATTATTACATCTTCTTCTTCCTCTTTCTCTTCCTCTTTCTCCTCTCTTCCTCTTTCTCTCTTCTTCCTCCTCTTCCTCCTCCTCCTCTTCCTCCTCCTCCTCTTCCTCCTCCTCCTCCTCTTCCTCCTCCTCTTCCTCCTCTTCTTCCTCCTCTTCTTCCTCCTCTTCTTCCCTCCTCCTCCTCTTCCTCCTCTTCCTCCTCTTCCTCCTCCTCCTCCTCTTCTTCCTCCTCCTCCTCCTCCTCCTCTTCCTCCTCCTCTTCCTCCTCCTCCTCCTCCTCTTCCTCCTCCTCCTCCTCTTCCTCCTCCTCCTCCTCCTCCTCTTCCTCCTCTTCCTCCTCTTCCTCCTCCTCCTCTTCTTCCTCCTCCTCCAATGCTTTTTGTCTCAAACTCCTCAAAATCATGAAAGTGATCTTCACTGACACTTCCATCTGTGTTAGAGCATCACTTGGGAAGAGAAGAGTCCCAGATTTGCTGGGGAGTCGCATATTTGCTACCGCTAAGCATGCTGAAAAAGGACAACTGAAATGGCATTCCCACA